TTATTACATGTATATTATTATATTGTCACTAAATGAGTAAGTTATATAGTTAGGCTATATATATAGTTATATATAATAAAAAAATAAAATGATAGCGAAAGATCTCATTGATCAGTTTATTAAAAAAAAAACAAAATAAATTGCGTTAAACAATTTTAGTATCTCCATAATGAAAAATAAAATAATACATTTGAAGAATAGTCTCCTTTAGGGTGTATATGTATTGAAATATAATACTAAAGTATTAAATAAGAGACTAGTGTTCCAAAGTTACTACTTATTTTGCTTTTATATCCTTACATGTATAAATACCAATACCAATTTTAAATGTAGTGTAAAATTGGTACCCATTTTTAACTACATTTTGTATTTATCATCTAAAATAGTTAGGCATAAAAAGCTATCTCATACGAGTGCAATATCCCACTATAATAATGATACGTGAGCAGCGTGTTCGTGGTTGTGCTGTTCAATAATAAATCAGGATACGTCGGAAGTAATTACGCAACGGTTACATAAGGTACGCGGCAACCCTGAACCTGTATTGAGGTTGGTCGCGGTGCTGCGGCCAACGAACGCGATTCACTCGGATCGTGAAATCTTGATACTACAAATTGAAATGAATTAATTAAAATGAATTATTAAGAATACGTAAATATAATTTTGAAACGTTAAAAATTGCTTATTTAATGACGAATAATTTGAAATAGTATTTTTAACTAGAAATACACAAATCTCATAGTGAGAGAAATCTTATTGGTTTTTTAACCATTTACTTCGCTGATCAACCAATTATATAATCAAAAATCTATCAGGGTTCAATCCACAGGAATTGAACTACGAAAGATTTTCAGATAAAGCATGAACGATCGACGAAAACAATAACAAAGTAAGTTTAATTTAATAAAAAAAAGAATGTGTGAAAAGGTAAATCCTCGTAAGGGTCCTGGCGTTATATAGAAAATAGTAATAATCGCTCTTGACATGTTTGACTCTTTTGTTAATGAATGTTGAATGTATATGATGTATGGGGCAACAGTATACGCTGGCGCGGTACCAGTGGAGAATGATAAGAAAGGGATTAGGTCAGATCAGCCCGCTGTGGTGAAATCACCAGGAATTAATCACGATATCCAAGAAACTCTACGGTCGACCTGATTACTACCAATATTTATTAGCAATAGGGATAGTGCTAGTCACTATAACTAACAAACCTTTCCCCCGATAAATTGGAATATAAAATACGCATCTTCTTTTTAAGTCCAATATTCATTATTTGTTATATATCAGTCGTACTAATTATATATTAAACTTTAAACAGATAAATACAAATAACATTTGTGTTTTTCGGTTTAAACTTATTTATATATATTAAGCAACTTAAGAAGTGTGGTAAAGTCATAACAAGCTAACCATTGTAGGTGTATACCTAGTTCACGCGAAATTACGGCTAACGATTCACGTAAGCTAATTGATGGCAATGTACATAAATAAGCATCGTGATGTGCTGGTTACTGATTATATGTTACAGTATCAAGACGATGTGGTAGGTGTATAAATGTTATCTTAGATCGACAGGTTCCTTTATGTCATTTCATTAAGCAGTGTGAATTAGGGCTTACACATACGCTATATTTATTTTATATTATTCTGAAATAGGTGTGATTAAAAACATTAATCTAAGTCTCCAGTTTAATTGGTAATCTCTGATAAAGAATGATATAAATAAAAATAATTATAGTAAATCATTCATCAGTTTTACTTGTGTTTACATCTTTACATTTATCCGACTAATCGACAACTCGACAGGAAGGCCTCCTGTCTAAATACATAAATTAATTATCGACTTCATCTGATAACTTTTACTTAAATATGATATTACGTTTGTTATTTTTACTTAAAGGCAATTACAGGAACTTTTTATATGTATTTTTGTAAAAAAAGTCTTTATATCTAAATTATTATCGTTGTTAATCCTAAACCGCGCAAAAGTTAGTCAGTAGGTACATTGTTTACTGCGACGCGCGGTTACAAATTGACTACCGCGAATGTCGTATCCCACAAGTGCTCCCATTGAGTTGGTATAATATTTAATAATTTACAGTAGAAACTTGGTTGGATATCTATATTGTTATATTATGTCACGAGGTATCGATAACGTCAAGAGCATGATTGCCATTTATGGTAAACATGTCGTGTGAACTCACTTTTAGCCTGAAATTGGCCTTATGGCATTTTATGTCAGTTTCCATATTTATCACAACGTGAATCAATGAAAACCGTGTCAAACAAAGTACTGCTATCTATCGTCTAAGTGCAAATCTAATGTCAGAAGAGTTCAGTTCAACAGACTGTCAAATAGAGCAGGATCTCAATGTATCAATATTTATTTATTTGTATCTAATACTCGACATCTTCGACCAAATGAAATGGTTTTTAATGATTATTTTTTTAAACAGATTTACTCTATCTTTTGTTGGCCCCATATTAACAAAAATCTTGGGAGTTCCTTGCAACATCATATAATAAAGCCGTTAAAATGTAGGTATGTACCTAGCTTGTTTCACTCTAAAATTCTGACGATAAAACTTTTTAAAATCAAATTAAGTAAATTTCTGGTATTAGGTATATGCACAAACAGACGTCATTTCTATAAATTACTGATTGGAATTACATTGCTCAATTTTAGCTTACCGTCTAAGCCATGTAACACAAAGAAATTAAAATATATTTTTACTTATCTTATAATTTAGATATAGTTAAATGCAATAAAAGTTAATGCATGCTAATCTTAGTTTGTGTTCCGAAAACCACTGCTACCATAATTCGATCGTTCAACTTGAACGTGACGTCCGGTGTCTTTTTGTACTAAAAAAAATTGTATGGTTGAGGATCCAGGCTTGCTTGCCCTCTCCTGACTCATCTGTACCGCCGTGGCCTGTTATCGAAGACAGAATCAGTACGGTACCGGCTCTCAAAAAGAGAAGTAACTTATAACCAAACGTTTATCTCGCGAAAAATGTTACGCCTCAATCGTGCTCTGCAAGAAGTACTGTGCTTGATAATGGTGAGATTAAGTCTATAAATATGTGACAAAAAGTGATAACAGTAAAACAAGACCATATAGTGGTGAAAGCATAACATTATATATATATATATGTAACAAACCTAACAAAGCAGACAATTAATTCTTTGGAACAATCGAATTAAAAAAAATAAAGGTAATCAGAATGGTCGGTGATTTCATAGAAAAGAGTGAAAGCTGCCGTGGCTTTGACATAATAAAAACAAAATGTAGTTCAACGAAATATTTGAAATTTCCCACACCACGTGAAGTTTGAAAGAGTTTTAATGTTTAATTTGCACTCGCGAAAAGCAGAAGAGTAATTGAAATTTAATATGGCAATGCAAATAAGATTTATTCACCGTAATTGCAATCCATTGATCAGGGTTTAATTTCCGAAAGAATACATAAAAAAGTATGTCCTATTTCGAGTTGATAAAGAATAATTAATTAACGCACTCAATACCATTGATGAAATAAGTAGTATCACTGCTCAATACGTTAACTTCGAGACACCACTTATCCACTAAAAGCGGTCACAAATTGAAATCGATTGCAAAAACTTACATTAATTTAAATGTATACGACTCACAACAGTTATCTCGTTACCGATACTGAAGTGTCGCATGTAATGGTAGGATGTTTTTTTAGAACTGTAGTAAAAAAATGTGGGCATTGGACAGATACAAAAAAGCTTTTGTTATGAATTAACATCTGATGCCAATATAGGGGTCACTGGAGCAGATCACGAAGAAAGATCCGCGGAGGACTGATAGTTATCAAAATTAAATCTTGCTGTTATCACAGCAGGTGTAACAGTAATTGTAATCACTGATAAAATAAAGTTTATAGATACACAAGTAGCGGCGATGCTTTAAGTTTATACAGACGGGGTTTAGACACAGCAAATAATACATATAACATATGCTTTTTAAATTATGATTGATTGATTAAAAGTTTGTTTCCATTATTGCTCCATTTACGTAAATTAGTGCTTACTAAAATCTTAATTAAGTGCAAAAAAAAGCCCATGATAATCATCGTTTAACAGGTTTATTAACCTGATCTAGAGACGTGACGACGTAATCGGTATAAAATCGTAAGGTGCATGACCGTGAAGCATTGTATCGAATAAGAATCATCGCGCACGAACGATTCTTTTCGTATATATCAGCTACATCAAAACAGCCACAAATTCTACGTAAACTTTGTAACGACAAAATTGGATAATTTTGCAAAAAAAAAAAAAGATTCAATTACGCAAGATAACAAAATGTAAACCATTTTAGACACAATTTATATAAATTCAATCTTGAATGATGCCATATTTATAGAATCTAATGATTGATTACTACGTGTGGGTTGAAGTTTATCTTTAATATTTCTACTTTTACATAGTACTTACCAGCGCCGTGATCGCAAACACGACGGCGCGGCGATCCTTAGAGTAATTTCATCAGTACATGAAATTATCCCAGAAATCTTTAATTATTTTATAATAGAAATTACAGGCTTATCGTACTCGCTAGCTGTGAAGAATTTTTCAAATCGGTGAAGTATTTCTTGAATTTATACAGTCTACAAACAAATATTATAATTTTATGTTATTATAATATCAGTTTATTTTTATTTCTATACTGATTGCGCGAGGTACTTTTACGAGAGCATATATATTAATTTGACTACTGACTAAGTTGACAAAGAAACAGCAACTGACAATGAATATGAAAGAATCGGATATAGTTGCCAACACGTCCGTATTCGTGTCTCGACCTCAACACATTTCTCTCCATTGTGTCTTACTAATGACAAAAGACATTAATTGACACTTCTACATATACAAATTTTCAGTTCCACGAAATTGACCTCAGTCACTAATTGACTTTCTTGAGCTTTAGTTTCTTTCTATTAAAGTAGAACATGTTTTTTTTTTCAGACGGTGCCATTACCAGCAGGATCTACATCCGTATTGGCTAAACCCACAAAGTACCACTACTATCCCCACAATCAACATATCTATTTGCTACCAGAGTGTGCTATACAACAGGTAATTTGATGCTCCTACTATTCATATTAATATTGATAAGATATACAATAATATATATATATATATATATATATATATATATATATATATATATATATATATATATATATATATAGTTATATATATCTTATGTTATAAACGGAAAGTTTGTGAACTGTTTGTTACTTTTTCACGCAAACACTACAGACGGATTTTGATGAAACTTTACAGTAGTATAGCTTACGCATCAAAATATAGCCTATGTGTTATTTTGATGCGTAAGCTATACTACTATATTGAAATTTAACGCGGGTGAAACCGCGGGCTCAGCCAGTATTTATATAACATAATGTATTATGTTATATAAATATATATAAATACTGGCTAAATAATTAAATCACACAATAAAAAAATATAACTGACAAGACAACATGTCCCGACTCGTACACAGCCCAAAGGTTCCCAATTAATGGTACATATTATATAATATAAACGGGATGATTCCCATGATATTTTATTTGAAAATACTCGACTGCATATGATGGCGGATCTGACGCTCAAATTATATTATCATGGTAAATATTCTTTTTTATATAACATGTACGTTTATATTAATATTATAAACTTTGTGGCTATTTGTTATTTTTCATGTTTAAATGTTTGCTAGACAAATGAATGAAAATTGATATAAAAATATCTAAATAATTATCTAAATTAACACTTTAATATCTGACTTCACTCGGGCACCGTGACGTGGCCCGTTGCAACTAGTTTGTAATAAAACTTTAAGTAACCGTGAGTAACAAACGTCCTTTTACAATAATTAAGAGAAGTATTTGAAAGTAAAGACAGTATAAAATAAAACGTCCCAATTTATCCCATTCCCAATCCCAATCCCAAATTAATCCCTTTTTATTCTATTTGTTCATATTATATACTATTATTTCATTAAAAAGATACACCAAAATTGTTTAATAAATATGTCAAATATAAAAAAAAACGAATATTGTACTCCATTGTTGCTTTATTGATGTCACTGCCTATTTCATTACGTTTTTCTATTGACCAGAGTCCAAAACAAAAAAAAAATTTACAGTTAGGTATGATCAGTAATTTCTAGATAAATCCGAGACGAATTTTCTTTAGTTCTCCGTTAAGTACAATGGCTGTCAAAAATATACCTGCAGTAGCGATGATGTGGAATAAAATTTTGCGTTGTTTTTTTTTAAGGTGTGCAACGCAGTGTACGTGCGTTTGAACTATACGCAACCATTGTGCGCGTGCCCAGCTCGCTACCGCGACCCGTGCTCTGCAAGCCTCAACGCCGACGACCTGCATACCACGCGGCTCACCACAGATTCCAAAAAGAAGGCAAGCAGAAAATTGTCTCTGAATAGGCGGCTATACAATTGAATTCTATCTACGTGGAGATACAAGTACTTGAGAGGCTTTAGGAATTTTAACCTTGTAGTTATTATTGTTGACGGTATAAATATCTACGGTGCAATAATTCTTAATTGAAAGTCTTTATCAAAAAAGAAATTCATATTTTGTTTTTTGATAAACACAAATATATACAGATAAAGAAAAATTGTACTAATGTACAATTTTAATTATATTCCTCATCCATACATATAATCGTAACTAGGTGAAAACTATATGCATCTTTCTGCATTAAGTGTTTATATAAAAATAGGTATCAAGTTATCTTTTCTCAAAATAATAACGAGTATAGAGGCAGCAAAGGTCCTACAAGCAACAAATTATCTTTTCGAAGTGTTCTACTATTTAATTAAAACTAAATCTCCACCACACTTTAGATTGAAGCTGTTGCACTCATTTTTTTTCTTAAATCTATACTCTATTTTCATGTAAGTTAAGTGTTTACATTTTTTTTACAGTATGCTCACAAAGCAGTGACTCTTGTGAAGACTTGCGAAGCAGTATCTGAGATGCGCGAATGCCGATCTCCTCGCGATTGGTCATTACTTGCGTTGCAAAATATAAGGACTGGCAAGTCGCACTACCTGGTCATCTGCAGGTGTCCAGAGAATCATATACTCGGTAATCTAAGTTTTTGTCTTTATAATAATATTAATATGGAGATTTTTGGGGAAGACCTTTGTTCAGCAGTGGACGTCTTCCATGAAATGATAATGACGTTGATAATGAATATTATAATATGAGATCACGAATCCGAGTGGCGGTAAATGTATGTATTTTTGATGCTAAAAATTTTCATAATATTTTGAAACAGGGCATGTTGTGCACTATATTATCATTTTGATTATTGTTGCCGACAGTGAGAGTTATGTGACATAGTAGAGTCTCTTACTCTGACTTTCACAAAATGTTGTGTGATTATATATTTTTTTAAAGTCAAATTTAAATTCTTAATTGCAACACATATTTTTATATTACAGGTATCATAATATTTAGGTATATGTCTTAACTTTATTAAAAGTAATTTATTATATAAAATTATCTCATTTCCTAATGATTAGTTAAACCTTAAGAGATAATTAAGTCATATTTTTATCTTATTTCAGAAGGGCCAATGTCTCATGATCAGCCCACTTATGCATCAGTACCTGGTATTAGAGTGTACGGGATGGTTTGCGTACGTCCTACGACTCCTTACAATGCTGGTAAGTCATCGCTAGTTTATAGACTAAAGAAATAAAAGATACCTTGAGTTAATCCATTATAAAATCTTCTGTGACTGTATGTATTACTAGCTGGCCCGCGCAACTTTGTCTGCATCACTTTTACTTGGCATTTGTCATTATATTTCATATTATATAATATCTTTTAAATAATAGGTTACGTTTTATTTTGATGTATAAGCTATAGTACTGTAAAGTTTCATCAAAATCCGTTCAGTAGTTTTCTATGAAAGAATGACAAACATCAATCCATTCATACGTGCCAACGTTGGTGTTTATAATATTAATAGAGTAAGATAAAAGGATAGTTACTACCTCCTTGATGAAAGAAGCTGATGGTTCACAATCAGCTTCTTTGCTATTTGAATTTCATAAAAATACTATATAATAAATCCGCATATCTACAAATTTATAATAATTAATTAAGAGTTATACTTCCTTTTCAGGATTCAACACAAACAAATTCACAAGCGGCATCCAAAGTTCGACCAGCGCGTATAAAGTGGACTATTCTCAACCGCACTCCTATCCCGAGAAGCCTGTATACAATCGATTCCACAGCTACCCTGAACCCAATTACTACAATAGAAGGTCTAGAGTCGCACGGTTCAGAAGATCGATATCAGAATACCCTCCCTTTCCATGGTACAAAGTGAAAGAGTTAGCGAAATCTTTACATTGGATTTAGACATATTACTGTTAGAATTTGTGAAGTATGTTGGGTTCATTAAGGCTTTATTTGTAATCATCTAAAATCCGCCTTATTGAATCCAACGCACACTTCATCTGATTATAGGTTAGGGCGTGTAACGCAAGGTACATTATGGTGTAGTTGAAGTGCCTAAATAGAGTCCAGTGACTATTCGAATTTATTAACATTCCAGATAACTATATGTGAGCGTTGAAATTAATTTATTGTTATAAGCTTTATATTATTATACACCAGTTAGTGCCTAACACAGACTAGTGTTTAAAAATGCTTTAGTTCGGTTATATAATGAATGTACTGAACATTTCTGTTACTTTATAAGCTAAATTCCCATTTAGTTTTATTCAAGTTCTTACTAATTAACTCAGGGTATAACTGACTAGTATGTTTCATGGCAAGGATTATCTAGCTTCTTAATATACGAGAACGCAAAAATTATTGAAACGAATTGGCATCCGTAGAATAACGGATCTATATTAAATTATAATATACCTAAAAGTTTAAGTATAGCGACATCGATTTATACATTATCATATGAAATGTAACTCAATTATTAATAACTGTGTATTTATACAAAATATATACATAATGGCAGTATTGAAAGAGGGTAGACAAAAGGCAGGTGGACACGCGTGGATAAATTTAATGATGTTAATAATATAAGTTTGACAGTAAAAAAGTTATAATAATTTAGATACAATTTTGTATGATTTTAATAATAATAATTGCCAGAAAAATAATTATAGAATATAAGTGATTGATAAAAATTAAGATCAAAATAATGAAACAAATGTTTCCCCACCAACGTACGGAGATTTTGTAACCATGATATCGTTTATACTAATATATTATTAATATTAGAATGTACACAAGATAATGTGATAAGAGATTCAATGGTATTTTGTGTAATTTTTCAATGCATTTATAGTTGAATAAGATTTAGTTATAACAAATTCAGTATTTATTTAAGTAAACCATATTTATACTTAGCAGTTTGTATGATGTAAATAGTAGCAACAATTACAATATTTGTAATTATGAATAATAAATCTAACGGAATACTTTTACGAGTCTTTTGTTTTATTTTTGATGTGTCTAATAATATATCGGATTTATTATCAAACGTAATAAAATATATTGGGAACGGTTACGGGTTTAAAATGTAATGTTTAACACGCTTTATGTACTTACCTAATACTTTTTGGTCCACGACGATATCACAAGAGTACATAGCGGCCATTATTCTCTGAGGTTGAGCCTGAAACGCCTTCCTGCATCCATCCTTTACTGCTGACATTATTTGGCCTGTAAATAATTAATATTAATACAAACACTGTCATAATCTATTTCTGAGTATCATTCTAATCATTACATTTATTTTAGGTGTTTGTTCTATACTATGCATCCCTTTCAGATTTAGCAAAGAAGTTTTTAAATTTAGTTATTGGTACATTGACTCTAGACATTTATTTTTAATTCAATTTGTTGTTATATACATTCAATGAATGTTATTACATATTAATTCCAAAAGAAAAATATGTTACCATTTCGTTATTGGTTACCTGAAAGTGGTCCAAACGTTTGTGAAGAGTCATCTACTTCGTTTTTGTCTAGCGTCCATTCTTCGACGCAAAAAGCTACCCCCATCATAGGCTCATCACATAACGGACCAGCTAAAGTAGCTAATTGGAAGCCATTTACAAAACTACCCTCATATTCAAACCTAGGATCGTCTTTGATTTCTTTATCGTGATGTATAAACTTCGTGTTGTAATCTGTTGTGTGATTGAGAAGTAAATTTGAACCGCAATTTCTAGGACCCGCAGACCAAATTTGGCCGACAAAGTCTTTCCACTCAGGGCCTAGTTTCGTACATATACTTTGCAATTCATCTTCGAAAACTTGTATCAGTTTTAACATGCGATCTGACAATTTATGCTTCGTTCCATTTAAATAAAGTCCTTCAAGTTTTGTTTCTAGCTCTTCCTTTTTTGAAATACTTTGTAATTTTTTTATATGCTGTGATATTGCTTTAAGGAGATCAGTTGATTTATCTAATAGGGCAGTTATTTCATTCGGTAGGGGCTTAGCCCTTATTTTTATTCCACTCTGTTTATTATTTGTATATACCGTGATAATTGGGTCTTCCTCTTTTTTGCTATCTATATTTTGTGAATCAATCTCTTCGTTAGCCATATCTATTTTTGGCGGTTCAACTATTGTTTCTCTAAATGGAACTATGGGTTCAGAAACAGATATAGGTATCTTCGCATATTGTTTTCTGAAAATTCAAACAAAAAATATAAATCAGTACTAGAAATACAAAAGTATAAAAAAACATGACAACATTCTCTATGAAAAATCATTAAACTATAACTAGCGCATACTGAGAGCAAGCGATATGATAAATTGTAAAGTAAATAATAAAATATGTACATTTTATTATTTTAATAATCATTTAAGTAAATTTAGTAATTTAAAAGAATATGACATCCTGTCACTCTTACGCAAAGGAGTTCGCTACAGTAAGATATATCATAATACTGTGATAAAACTATAACGTTTAAGTGAATAAGAAAACAATAACAACTTACTTTAAATCTTCAAGACATCTTTCTAAATGGACTTCTCCAGCTGTCACTAAAACATGTTCTCCTGTCTCTTGTAGTAGCACTTGAACACAAGAATCGGACTGATTCAAAAGTTTGAGTCCTGTAAGTAGATAATACCAAAAATGTTAAAATAGTAGTAATTAAGTCATCATTTCCATTATTAAAATTAAGTGCGATGTTTCTAACAGAAGTGTGAGATATGGTATCACTCAATTCTGAATTTAATTTTGTAATTTTAAATAGCCTATAATTTTACTTCAGTAATAGAGGCGAGAGCCAGTGATAGAATTCTTGAAAATGAAAGACAAATAAGTAGATAGGAATATATATTTTTTTTTAAATGCTAAAAAGTCGCACTTTTATCTAGTGTCTAGGTGGCAATGTGTTATGAAGATTCTTTTTTATTTATTCAATTTATTTCTAGGCAAAATGTATCCAATTTTATAAGTATTATATCTAATTTTAAACATGGCTTACTTAAGATTGAAAATAATTTTTATTATTTAAGGAAAACTATTTCCATGGACGATTTGCTCACCTATATACTTATTATTGCAATGTGTAGGAAAATTATATTGAATATACTTCATACCTTTGACTAGTTGAGACAACTGCGAAGGTACCGTTGGTTCAACAGCCACTCTGAGAATGGGCACAGCTGCATATTGCAGTTCGCTAAATGCTGGACAAGCTATTGTATTACTTAATGTAGCAGTTTTAAGTACATGCTCTTCTAGACCACCTATACCTGTAATATCAAAATGTACACTTATTAGTATTGTTGTGATTAAAATCTCATCTAGTATTTTTATTTTTAAATATTTCATCACATAAGATAATATTTATTTCTTTATTTGAGCGATAAGTAAGATATCCACTGTGTAATTACAATTACTAACACTTGTTAAAAGTTCAGATACATAGTGTTGACTTACTTACTGGTTGGTTGCATCTGTAAATGTTTACAATTTTTTTTTATTGAAGATGTTGTTATTTGTATATTCTAGTGGTTGCCTAGTAGTCGAAATTCGACCTTAATTAATTTAACATTCAGTAAGATAAATTAAATTACAGTCAAACAATATAAATCTATTCTCAATTTGATTTGAGATGTCAATGAGAAATTTATTAAGTTAATTAAAAGATTAATATACTCACTACATAACTTCAATTGCACAGTTATTTGAATTAATAGAATAAAAATTACTTACCTACTATATTACCAGCAATAGCTTCATCTATGCTTTCCAAATCTCTGCCCATTAAAATATACAAAGATTTGATTCTGAAATAAAAAGAAACATATTGTAAAACTTACCATCTTAATAAATGTTCTATGTAATAAATTAATTAAATGTATTACTTACTCAGCATAAGTGATATGTTCATCACTATTTAAATCTTTTAATTTGTTATCAAAATCTATTTTCAAATCCTTAATACTAAGTACTTTGGACGGGTCATGTTTAGGACCTAAAACATATACTTTGTCACCTCTTTTTACTTTGCCACTAAATATTCTAGCAAAGGCTATAAATGCAGGTTGCTCTATGTCATCTAATTCTTTGTTATCTTCTGCCTTTTCATCAATATTTTCATTAATATCTTCCTTTCTCTGCTCAACAATTGGGACAGGTTCTACACTTGTATTATTAAGTTTTTGTTGTTCCCGCAACTGCCTAGCTTTCTCTCTCCTTGTTGCCATCTCTTCTTCTGTCAAAGACTTAGGTTTATTTTCTGGGAGCACACTTTTATCTACACCAAACATTTTCGATATAAAAATAATAATAGGTTTATCATCACTACTATCACAGTCTAAGAAGTCCTTTTTGAGTTTTTGTGCCTCAGGATGTAAGGCTTCAAAATCTCCTATACCTGAACACATCAGTTTCTCAACTTTATCAGATATAATTTCTTTTGGCGAAGGAAGCTTTTCACATACCATATTGAGTATTGTTTGCGAAAGTGGAATCCACTGCATCATAAGTGACTGTAGTTGAACTCTTTTATCTGTATGCCGTAGATCTCTAGCAGTGAGTTTAATACCTAATTTTTCACACATTATTGACACTTTCTCTTTCTCATTTCTACTTACAATTGTTTCATAAATACTCCAAAGGTTGTCGAGTATTACTTGTACAAATAATGGTTTCTTGGCTTTTTCTTGCGCACCTTTCATGACACGTTTAGTTTTTGTATTTAAATAAAAATCACCCCAAAGTACTTTTCTTAGTAAATCTTCTTTGATTCCTTCAAATAATTAGTAAAATATTTTATTACAGTTGTCATATTGAGTAAAAATAGTAAGATATATAACCAAGTATAAAGTAATTAGGTACCTGCATATCAGAAGATAATGACTCTCTACAAAGCAGTATCTTAAGGTTTATAAAGATACAATAAAATATAGGTTTATACCTAACAATAAAACAATATCTTGGAAAGTATAGATGAAACATTGTCTTATCACTTATAAGCAACCGTTTACAGACATTCCGGAAGAGTGTAGTAATGAATAGAGAAAAATAGGTAAATAAATATACATAACAAAACATATTGAAAGAGCAGAAGAATTTATATATTTAGTAATATTATATATGACAATGGTACAAGTTATCAAACCCTTACCAAGTTTTGCAGAAAATAACTTGGCAAATGTATGAATGGTGAACCCCCATCCATCAATAGCACTGGCAAATACAACATTTCCCTGTTCCGGAGAAAAGTAAAGGGTGGAGTCATCTGCGTCTTCCAGAGCTGATGTCCAATCATAGTAGTCTTTGTCTTCTTGAACTGGGGGATGTTCTTTCTGTTATACAATTTTAAATGTTAATAGAGTAAAAATATATGATATAGAAATAGCAAATTTTTGTTGGCAATTATTTTGTAGGGATTAACATAAACTCAGTTTATTTAAGGAATATGTATGTTATAATTTATTATTTCTACTAGACAACCTCAGTGGTCTAGTGGTCTAGCACACCGCTTTACGACTGATGGTTGCGGGTTAGATTCCTCGTACGCCACAAACATTTGTATTCATGAGTATGATTGTTTGTATCGGTCTGGGTGATTTTTATGTATAATATGTATATATTTACAAACAAAAATATCCACATTGATATTTTTTTTATGATATTTATTATATATTATATAATAAATATCATAAAAAAGTTATCTAGTACCCATAACACAAGCTTTAACTAGCTTAACTTGGGTCTAGATGGCGCTGTGTGAATTGTCCTGAGATTATTATTATTATATTTTACAAATACCAGCACTTGCCTTGCCAGTTAGTGTGTGCAGTTGAATTTGCATTGCCTTGCCTTGCTTGCCTTACCCGTTACTGCACAGTTGAATTGGGCGGATGATATGTCACACATCTTTTTTTATAGAAAATATCATGAGGAATAAAACTAATCATGAAATATATTAAGAGAAAACAACCTAGTGTTTGTTTCCTCAACCGCAGTAATTAAAACATTACTTTAAATTTATCTCACCTGCTTTTCAATATTAGTATTCTCATTTTCAAATACTTCCGTGGAAAATAACTCCCCCATTACAGCATTAACTTGTTCTAATACTTGGGACAAGTGAACATATGCATCTAATGGTGTCAGTTGCATTTCCAATATGAGTCTATCTATTTTATTCAATACAAGAACTGCTCTTATGTTCTCCGAGTATGCCTGTTTGAGTGCTAATCTTGTTTGTGGACACACTCCTTCTACAACATCAACCTGAAAAGTTGCAAATAAATTACAATTGTAATTAAATTTTCCACATATAGTAAGTAATAAAATATTTAGAAATCAACAATAAAATAAATTCATGTAGTTGGTACTACCAAGAAAGCCAAGAAGAGCTTGTGTTACATGTGTAGCACAAATAACACAAGCTCTTCTTAGCTTGGTAAAAGTGATGTAAATACTTAAGTAAATATATTTTTTTATCAAGATTAACAAATTTGTATATAGTCTGGAAGACTGATTGCATGATGGAAAGAAAAAAAAACATTTAAATATGTACTTAATATTCATTGTATACACCTAGACCAATAATATAAACAACTTCTCTAATAATTAAAATAGATTATATCATGGAATGAATCTAAACCGCAACCATCAGATTAGGGTGGTGTACAAAATTGCTAGATAACTAAGGCCTAGCCTATAAAAACTTGTAGGTTGAGGTGACTGGGTAAATATTGTAATTTTTCATATAATTATACTTTGTTGAGATGGAACTCTTTGGCTGTTTCAAGACATTTTTTGGGCCCTTTGTATTATGCTTACCTAGGAGTTTATAGCTTAACACCATAATAATTAATACTGTATTACTTATGATACTTTGTAATACATAAGTGTAAATGTACCAGGATTATCACATTGATCAGGGTAATTAAGATTACATTGAAATCAAAACAAAATACCCTTTTATAGCTTATATCTGAATTATGATAGAAATTTAAATTAAAAAATATTCATGCTGGATTCTAATTATAATACTAAAATTTTTGGTTATAATATTATTCCCTGTCATCGAGTTTAAAGATTTAAAATTTGAAATACATATAACTACATAATACAGAAATAATTAGAAAATTATAATAGAACATTAACATCATTAAGACTATTTGTGCATTCAAATTCTGTTAAAAATATAAATAAGAATGTTTTCTTACCACAACTATAGCTCCATCACATAACCTGACGGCAGTAGACACTTCACTAGAAAAATCTATGTGTCCAGGTGAATCTATAAGGTTTACCAAGTACTCTTCTTCATTTGCAGCGTGATATAAAGCTATACTACTGCTTTTCATAGTTATACCTCTCTCCTGTTCATCAGGCCTGCTATCCATGTATCTGAGTTTTCCAGACATCCTCTGTGATATTATACCATTGCTGGATATTAAGGAATCAGCCAATGTAGTTTTCCCATGATCAACGTGTGCCACAATACAAATATTTCGAATATTTTTTGGATTGTTTTGAAGTTGCGAAAGTTTTCTTGTGTCTACAAGCCGCATTTTAATTTATTAACAGAATATTATATATATAAGTAGTACAGAATGATTCTATAATATTCTAGTTGTTATTATTATTATAACTAAAAACGAAATTGCATGAAAACTATAATTTTAATTGCACAACATGAGCCAATGTATATGACGAAGTTTGATAATTTTGACACAACACAACAAACATATGAGACATATTGTCAGACGTTTGACATTCCGTTTTGAGGTTAGGTTGCCTCATCTGACGTTTTCGTTCAGAAATCAGTGTTAAGTTCGTACTTAGTAACAATCAGAGATAACATAATAATAATAGAGTTTCAATACAAGTATTTTTTTAATGCCATGAGACTTTGAAAGACCTAAGGTTGACGGATTTATTGAATGTTATTGAAAATAATTCATACTCACTGATGGATAAGGAATAACATAATGGATTTATATTTTTTTTATTAATTCTGCTGCAATTAGCATGTATTCAGCACCGAAGCTTCGAAGCACTCGAAAAACTTCTACTTTGGTGAACAAATTTTACCATTATTGAGTTTATGTCCATATTGCGACATGTGTTTCGCTTCAGAACAAGGCATCATCAGGCATTGAATAGAGTTCGGATATAACTTGAAAGCCCAGGGTTGACTGTTCGGTAATCAGACAGCGGCAGTCAACACTAAGCTTTCAAGCTATATCTAACGTTAATGAGGGTACTGCTCTGTTCCATTTCAGATGAAATGGAGGAAATAGAAGTTGAAAGTAAGTAGTAAGTAGATGGGAGTGAGGACTCATGAATGAAATGAGCAGGGCTCACACCATTCCAGCTGCAGTCCATTCTCTTCCCCTTAACTTCAGGAGTAACGGCTGGCTGGTTATAGATATACGTACCTATATGTAACTCGTAATAAAACATACTAACTCGTAATATATAAATATCTATACAAATTGCTATTTTTATTCCTTTAATGCGCCTTTACTGTGTCAGAAAAATTGCAAAAATAAATGCTTACATTGAGACAGGCGCGAAGTCTGAACGCGACTTAAATGCGATGCTTTATAAGACAGATGGGACCCATTATGGCAACTTGCAAGTCTCGAATTCTAGCAACTGCATTGTTAACTCCCTAACCCCTGTGTGCATTTCAAAATGATTTAAATCCACCCAGTCCTATAAGCACACATTTAAACTAAAATTGCTTTGCATTTTACGTGGTGGGCAGGTATTTACCTACATACTTTTCGTGAAAATTCCACGTGTGTAATAAATATACTTAGACCAACATAATATTTTAAGTTAGGTGCCTAATACTTTAGTATAAAATTATGAGTTAGTATAACATAATACGAATAAAATTAACATATTAATAAGTATACTTTGTCAGGATGAAAGAATAAAGAATTTCTATTAGTAGACCAACAGAAACGTATTTTGTCTCCATAATATCTTTATAGAGTCAAAATACGTAACCTTTTTAATAAAATAATAATCATCAATGATGCACCCATTGATGATTATTTGAAATTGCACACACTGTGTATTTAATGTATTTCCTATCCACTTGTAATACCTACACAATCTCTATTTTGCATGTTGACAGAAAATATACTTTGCATATTAGGTACTTAATTAGTATATTACAAGCTGTTGTTTCATCACGTAAAATATTATACGAGTAGAGTTCAAATTAGGATTCTACTATATTATGGAAAATATTTATATAGTCTTCTTTCTAGTTTAATGGCACTTTTGCACAATGAATTGCTTGCGTCCAACACCCACTTGGCGGTAGTATGTTCAATATATTTTTTTATGATATTAAAACCTATTTTTTACTTCTTTGTTGCGTAGTTTAAATCTTTAGACTCAGGATTCGGCCCGGTAACTCATGTGCGTTTCTATATCTACATATTAAATAATATATAAATGTTCATAATCGAATAACATATAGGTATTAGAGATATATGTTATTCGATTTATCTTATATCCCTACTAGTAGGCATGTGACAGTGTCGCTATCTCTCAGCCCACTATTAAGAAGGTTTTATTTAGGTTCTATATTTTTAAAGTTTCAAATTATATATACTGTTTCTGGCTTTATATGGCTATAGTACTTAATTGCTTAAATACACATTACTCGTATAATCAGTATATCATTCACGCGATGCCAAATTATTCCATATGCTCTGTAAAAATGTGTAAAATATTAAAGGTAAGAAACATTTTAATATGTAGGTACTAAGTTATTAGAGGGGAAATTTTAGTAAATGCGAGTTGACTTCTTGCCAGATCAATAGTATGGTATTTAATAAAAAAACACAATCGTTAGTTAGTAGCTGATTGTAGTAATTAATAAAAAAAAACAATTACGTTAATACATTAACTAAAGTAGGTAAAAAATTTAATAAATTTTCTATAGGGATCTTATCTAATATACTATACTGAAATCTATAATCAATAAGGATTTAGTTGCGATAAGTTAGCTTTCAGTATGTTTTAATTTAAAACCTTTTAAGCAAGAGCATTAGCAGTGAAAGGTTCTAAATAAACTGCTTCTCTCGCGCCACTTACATGAAAATATTTCACATACTTTTCCTCCGCAGAAGCAAGCTTCAAGAATGCAGTTTTGTTCATTTTTGCTTCCAAACTTTCGCTACACCGTTTTTGTTAGACCACTGTCAAAACTGTATTCTGCAGATTTCTGCATGAATTTCAATTTCTTGAACGTTCGCAAAGAACTTGGAAACGAGTTCACTTGCTGCAAATTAATTCTCGGTTTTATTTGGAATTTGGATGTTACAAATGCTAACATTATCTACGGAACTTCACTTACAAACCCACTGGCAAGTTTTAGATAATATGCTACTTTTGCTCTAAACCAGAAGCACAAGCTATGTCCTCCTTGAATAAGTATCAAAGTTTAAGTAGGTATGCCACTATGAATTTAACCCACAGTCGAAGAGAAACTTTTTGAAGCATTTATTATTGAACTTGGTTTGGGTTTTAAATTTTTATAATTCACTGTCTATGTTGAGTTTTCTTAATACAATTTTGTATATTTTTTCTTTATTGAATAAATTTATATATGTGTATTTCCATACTAATATTATAAATGTGAAGGGGTGATTGTCCGCCTGCGTGTTTGTTACCCATTCACGACTAAAGGGCTTAACAAATCTTATAATAAGGAAAATTATTATTCCTGAAAATATTGTTCTTCTTAATGATTTTAATATAAATCATGCAACACATATGTGTAAAATATTGAATAAAATGCTAATATCTACCAATAGAAAAAGTATTGGTTTATTGAAACATTAAGAATAGTTCTTTGATTACGCTAAATTTAACATACTAACAATACAGAGTAATGTTTAGTGAATGAATAAAGAAGGTATATTTTCTGACAAAGTTGTACACTTCACAACTCGTTTCACGCTAGCATGAATATTCAGCTACATCATTAATATGGGTGCTTAAAAGTTAGTTTGAAATGCTCACTAACTAACTTTTACTTAGTAACTCTAACAAAAATATTTGGATTCTTCTATTGTTCATTTAGCAACTGGTGAACACTAAAATTCCCTTCTCATGTCTGATTAATATTGATATTCTAAGAAATTATAATTTGTGTGTAGAAATAGGTGATTTTTAAAATTATATTATACCAGCGGATTCGGAAATATTGTCCAGCCCTGAAATACAGCGTCATGTACAGGATCCGATTGTATTTCAAACTATCCACATACTCAAGGAAATACATAAAAATCAAATTAAGTCGATCCCGTCGTTTGTCCTAAAGGGCGAGGTGAGTCAGTTAGGTGACAAACTATACAGACGAACTATATGTACATATTTTAATATTATAATATGATTACACAACAACGTAGTGTTTTCAAAATGTATAAAAAATAAAGTTATTTTTTGCAACCTGCAAGATTATTCAACTGCTTTCATTTCTCTAAAAAACACAATATGAAAAGAAATTAATGTTTATCTATGAAATAAGAAAAGTTAAGGAAAAGTGTAATTATTCTTTTGTAAATTGTATTTTTTTTACACAGTGATGAATAAGGAAGGTCTGCCCTTTTTTATCTATCTCGTAAATTATCACAGTAATAAATTTTATTATACATATTACGTCTTATGGTAAGTGGTTAGTAATTTCATATGAATGATTGACAGACCAAAAACATGATTGACGGTCATACAGTATAGTAGCAGAAGTGTTATAATAACATTAAAATTAAATCTTTGCTTGGGGTTTCAATCTTTGCTTCAGCGCCCAGGCATTGATTAGATTGAATTGATCCAAGTGATGCTAATCACGTACCTATATACACTACGACTATATAGGCTACCACTGCCTATTAGGAGTAGTTCAACCATTTCAAAGATATACATTCAGTAATATAAACTCCTAAAAAATAAATAAAAAGTGCAAGATGTAATGTAAAAAATATACGTCTAAATTTTAAAAACATTCGAACACAAATGTGAAAATAATTAGCATAATTTCAACACAATTACTGACATTATCATTTGATGAAATAGCTGCCTAAACTTGATAATATGAGTTTAATTTACGAGCGGGGTTTACCTAAAGGGTTGTGGGTATTTGTAACGGTCCCATCTCTCCGTACCCTTGACATGACCTACTCGTTCCTAAGTCGGAGAGAGCGGTTTTTGCTATTTATGCCTAAATTAATATTTTGCATATTATTTAACTTTAAGATGTTATGGAATGTTTTCTTGAAAAGATGGCATATATAATCATATTCGTACATCATATTTAGATTTGATATGTCATAAAACGAATGATTTTTTGGATATTGTTTATTATAAAAATTAGGCATGAAGCACAGGCTTAATATAAAATTATTATAAGATATGAAAATCATTGTCTTTTTTACTATACATATGTATTAGTAGTTCTTGCATACAATGGAAAAAACCGAATTATTTAAATTTTAAGGACTCAATTAGTTTAGGTTTCCACTATAAGAGAAGAAATAAAATAGAATATTAATACGAGTTGTTTATCTTTTTGACTTTTCTTTTCTCTTCTTTTGGCTCCGGCGATCTATTTTACTTATACACGTAATAAACTTATAAATTATTGCTGACGTGAAAACTGTCTAATTGTCTGTTGTCTGTTTCATGTAAAATAGGCTAGAAA